CCACCTGCTCCCAACTGTTGACAAAGAGAAACAATTGTTCTTGCACACTTTCTCTGTCTACACCCACTCCCTTGATCAGTTCATCCAATCTCATGGCTTTAAATATTATCTACACTCTTGCTACTCAAAGTATGAGCTGTAGTCTAAAAGCATTAGAGATTTAGACTCTCGGGCCCCACCCCAGACCTACTGAATCATAATCTGCAGTTTAACAAGATCCTCAAGTGATTCATATGTATTAAAGTTTGAGAAGCACTGATCTATGCAAGTGGTTCTCAGCTCTGATTGGGAATTAGAATCAGCCGGAGAGTTAAAACTCTGCTTATGCCTAGGCCTACTTTCAGAGGTTCTAATTAATTGATCTAGGGTAGGGCCCGGACATACATAAATTTTATGTCATTGTGTGGTTTTAATATGTAGCAATAATTGAGAACAACTGACTTAATTATTGATGACTCCCAAGTTAATATCTCTAAGCCAAATTTCTCCTATGAAACCCAGGCTCATAAGTTCAACTACATACTCCACAACTCTACTTGGATGTCCAATAAACTTGACATATTGTACATATCCACAACCAAGATTCAAACCTTTCTCCTTAAATATGCTCCTTGTAAATTTTCTCCATCTTAGTAAGTAGATGGCACCATATTTACCTGGTTTCCCCCTACCTCCTAGGGTGGCTCTTCTCATTTTTTTCTGGCTCTTCTGCCTCTGTTCTGCCTCTTAATGTTAAAATGCTCTAAGGTACATTGCTCAAGTTACTCCCCCGGGTGATCTCATCTCTGTGCTGATGACACTGCGATTTAAACACGGTCAGATTGCTCAAATTTAACCTGTGCAAAAGAAAATTATAGGTTTCTTCCCCCTTCTCCAAAAAGTTGCTCCCACCCAAAATTTGGAAATAATCTTTGATTTCTTTCTTTCCCTTGGTGCCTACCTCCAATCTCATGTGCAAGTTCTATCACTTCTACCTACAAAATATATTCCTTATCTTCCTACTTCTCTTATCTCTACTACAATCATCCTAAGACATTAATGATTTAAAATGTCTTAGCAATATGGGACTAAAAGGGGATATTCTAACCTGATAATGGATATCTATCAAGCCTTCATCTAACATCATACTAAATAATGAATTTTAGAAACATTCTAATTTAAGTCAGAAAAAATGGGAAATATTTCAGTGTACAATAACAACTAAAAGTATAAGGTACCTAAGACCAAGTCTAACAAAAGATGCAGAAAAGTCACAAAACATTATTGAAGGGCATGGGGAAAGACTAAAAGGAAAGATCGGTTTTATGGCTGGAAAGACTGGATATCTCAGTAAGTCAGTTCTCTCTAAAGGAATCTGTAAATTTCACACAGTTCCAATAAATATCCCCCTTTTTTTTAGTGTTAACTTTACTTGCTGATTTTCATATTTGTATTCAGATATCAGCACTTAATGGAAAGCTATAGTGATTAACAAGTGTAATATCGACAACCTAACCGCAAGGGAGTCTGGCAGAGAAAGGTAACATATAGATCATGATGTGAAGAGTCTCAGCTATAGTGGTCAGACCTTCGGTGCTTTGGTCTCCTTCCATCCCTTCCTCAAGCCCTCAGAATGTCTTTAATATCTCATAATTTTCTTATTCCACACTTTTTGCTTCTGGAAATTAGATTCATTCTTGGTCATTTAAAATGTGCAGTTCCTTTTGTTTAAGACGTCCTACGCATCCAAGCAGTGCAGTCCCCTCTTGTCACCCTATATGCTCTAGGGGTTTCCCCTGTGAGGGCCGCCGTGGTCCTGTTGTGGCTGGCTGACTACGCGGGCAGTCTGATAGGCTTGGTTGGCCCCCAGTCCGGTTGGTTGCCAGCCCCTGCCTTGGGCGGACAGAGGCTGCTGGGTGTTGGTTGGTGGGGCTGGGTCACAGGCGGTTGACTGTAGAACCCCAGGGGGCCCTGGGTCTAGTGCCGGCTCACTGATGGGTGGAGTCAGGATCCAGAAGACTCCGGGGCTGCTGCCCGCCCAGTGGTGGGTGAAGCCAGGTCCTGAGGTTACTGCCGGCCTAATGGCAATCAGAGCCAGGTCCTGGAGTCTAGTTGCAGGGCCCAGGGTTCCCAGAGCAGGTGTCAGATCACCAGTGGGGGCAGGGGTTCCTGACACAGTTGGGTACGGGGGTTTGGGGTGTCCCGAAGCTTGTGTTGGTCGGCTAGTAGGTAGGACTGGGGCTCAGCTGGTGTTAGGACAGGGTTTGGCCTATTGGTGGACAGGCTGAGTCTGCAGGCTATGCGATTACGGTTTTGCTGGTCTGGAGTCTGCCCCCTGGTGGGCGAGGCTGCTACAGAAGCTAGAGCAGGTTTCCCGGAGGGCAGGGCTGGCGCCCAAGGGATTCTGGGACTGGTGCCTGCCCACTGGTGGGTGGAGCTAGGTCCTAGGCGCCCTGGTGAACGGGGCTGGAGGCTTAGTGGGTCTTAAGGCACTTTGTCTGCTGACGAGCTGGGCTGTGTTCTTGCCTAGTTAGTTGATTGGCCTCACGTGCTGCAGCACTAGCGCCTACAGGCTGCTGGGCCACGGCAGGGCTGAGTCCTGGGGCTAATAAGCTAGAGGGAGGAGCACCAGGGTCCACCTGGTAGAAAGAGCTCCCGAAATGGCTGCCGCCAGTGCCTGCTCCGGGGTTGCTGCAGTTGCCTCCTGCCTCTCCCAGAGGCTCTCCAAGATCAGCAGGTAGGTCTGACCCAGGCTCCTATCCACTTACTGCTTCTGCCCTAGGTTCCAGAGCATGTGAGATTTTGTGTGTGCCCTTTAAGAGTGAAGTTTCTATTTCCCTTAGTCTAATAACCATATCTCTGTCTCAGCTTCCTTGCCGCCAACCCCCAAAATGCAAAACCCGTTTGGCCTGAACTTCATACAGTTCATCTCTCTTTTCTAGGTCAGACATGCCCTTATTATTTATACAAAATTCTGACTCAGTGGCATTCCAGGATCCTGACTCAAACTCTAAAGTCTTTGGAATACAACCTAGGAAAAAGGACCTTTCTCATTGTTATGCAAACTCTCTCCTCCTCTCTCTGACACTATCCTTCCCCACAGATATCTACACTCTTTTCACAGTTCTGCTCTCTCAGCCAGGACAAGCACATCTCCACACCATACTTTTAAGCTTGAGCCAGCAGTAATGTAGAATGTTAACTCATTAACAACAAAATTGTCTTTCCTTACTTGCTCTAATCTCTTACCAGACTAAGTTGGATTTCAATTAGCAAATTTAAAGCAAGAGGTTTTTCTTTTCTTTTTTTTGCATAGCCATTCTTGCAGGGTAGTTAGTTGGAAAGCTCAAAAGAATCCATGTAAATAGCCATGGCGTATATACATGTGATACGTGTAAAGTGTAACTCAAGTATAGGGTGAAGGTATAATATGAGGGCCGTCCTCAGTAATTTATCTTTCCTTGGTTGCTTTTAGAAAGAAAAAGGCAAGAATCCTCATACACGTGAAATTTCAAGAACTTCTTATCATTTGCATGGTTGGCATACTACCATTCAAACATAATCATATTTCTTTTCCACCTCTATTGGGTTCTGAAGAATAATGCAGATTTCTTTTCTTCTGTAAGTCACAGCAGTGCGTGGGCGGTATAGCCCTCTATCCAACCTGATTCCCATTTGCACCATTACTTTAACATATCCTGCCTCATGTCTTCACTTGGGCATAATTTTCTCTTGGAATTTGTATTTTAGATGATCAAATGTGACAATAGCCAGAAACTCATTTTATTTCAAAACGATAGAAAGATCATGAGCATTTAGATAAACGGCAGTGCTTTCAAAATCAGCAACTCAAAGAGATTTGGGGTTCCAGGGAGCTTATGAAATGAAGATGGCCACCACCCACTGCAACACACCTTGGAGCACTTTTGTAAAATCACCACCACCATCAACACACACACACACACACACACACACACACACAAACCAGTTTCTATTCTTCTGGCCAACCGTGAGGGAGAATTTGTTCTCAAGGTAGTGTTCTAATAACTGCTGTAAATTCACTCTTTCATGGTTTAAACTCAAGGACTACAGTAGTATCTGAAATGATGGGAACAGTAGGATCTGCTGTATTTCTAGAATCATGACAGAAAGGAGAGGCTGGGGAAAATTCTGACTATTGCTAGATCCTGGAAGGGTACTGATTTAAGGACTCACAGGTCTGCAAACCTGTGAAAGGTGAAGAGGGAGGGGGAAAGAGTGTATGTGGAGGCACACACATACACAAGTGTCCTTGTATTACTTGTGGTAGGAAGAATTCTAAAAACGCATCCAGTTTGAACTCCCCAATATGATGAGATAGCACTCCTTTGACAGGAGTGTGCTACATGGCACAGGTGACTTTTAGATAGGGAAATTATCCCAGAGGGCCTAATCTATTCAGTGAGCCCATGAAAGCAGAAAACTTTTTCCAGCTGGTGGCAGAAGGGGACGTTACAGTTATTTGAAGCAGGAGAAGGATGTAAAATGCTGTTGCTGGTTTCAATATGGAGGGGGCCACATAAGAAAACATGCAAGATGCCCCTGGGAGCAGAGGGTGGCCGCATCGCTGACAGCACAGAGATAGGGGCCCCAGTCCTATAACTGCAAGGAACTGGATTCTGCTACAAGCACACAAGCTTGGAAGAGAGCCCTGGGCTTCCAGATAAGAATGCAGCTCAGCTGACAACTTGTAAGACCCTGAGTGGAGATTCCAGTCCCAGCATGCTTCACTTTTTTTTTTAATTTTAAGGGAGAGGTAATTAGGTTTATTCTAATGGAGGCACTGGGGACTGAACCCAGGACCTCGTGCATGCTAAGCGTGTGCTGTACCACTGAGCTATACTCTCCACCCTGACCACCATGCTGCACTTGTGACCTAAAGAACTATGAACTGATTAATGGGTATTTTGAGCCACAAAGTGAATGGTCATTTGTTAGGTAGCAATAAAAACTAATATATTTCTGAATTAATTTTGTCCCAGGATCACGGACTCCTGAAGGAACGGATCATGTCATCTCTGTGGAAAAGGCCCACTGTCCCTGATGCAAAGTCCTGTGTCCAGTAAGTATTCCTGAACTGTTAACTGGTGACAAATAAGCCCCTGGGCCAGGTGCAGTTGCTCGGTGTGCTCACCTGACTTGGAGTGTAATTGAGCTGTTTCTCTGGCTCACTACTCTTAAACAGCTGGCTGGAAGTTGAGGGCCAGAGAGCCAGGGTGCTCATCTTAAGTTCTCTCTTCTCCTACAACAGATAGGAGGGATCCCTTAGGCATACACACATGAGTCTAATAGCAACATTGTGTGGTCTTAAATAAGCCAGGCTGGGCTCCCTCTGGGATCTGGGAGATGATATCAGAGATTAAAAATAAACCGTTAGGCACTCGCTGCCCTTATTCTTGGGCTGATGAGGAGCCGGATGACAAAGTTACACTTTTAACACGATCATGAGAATGGAAAAGGGCTCATTCCTCTTTCAATTCCTATTAGGGTCTTTGTCCAGACAAAGGCTGTATTTACAGGTGCTTTGCAAAGTGTAGCTCCCTTCCTGTTCTCAGTCAGCTGGGCAGAATGATGCTGTCATGTTGGCTTGGTGTCCCCTCCCACCTCCATTTCTTTCTTTTCCTTCTCTTTCTTTCCCTTCCCCTGCCCCTTTTCCTAATTTTATTTTTTTCCCTATTGAGCTGTTTGGTTGGGAGAGTGAGAGCCCCAGAGCAGCAGCAGAAAAAAAAGAAAAAGAAAAAAAAAAAACTCAGCTTCTCAGAGTGAGATAAATGCCCTTTATTCTTATTTGAGTTTCTCACTGCCTAGAGTGTAAGGGTAGAAAATAGAACAGTCTAACAGAAGCAGAGAGCAAGACCTTTTCCATGGTGTTTGGAAAAGACTAAAAAAGGGAGCAGAAAGGAGGATGAGGTGGCCCTGTTCCTGTCCCTCGGCAGTCACTCAGTCAACATTTCTGGAGTGCTGTGACATTTACTGTCATTTCGTGTCATGTCATTAAACAGGGTATAAAGTGGTTTCAGTATATGCTCCCCCTGTGTGCCCAGACATTTGCTACCTGTTCTTGGGCTCCAAAAGAAACAGAAGATTTGAGCTATGCCCTTAAGGAACTAATAGGGTTTCTGGGGGGGGGGCACAGAACCCACATAACCCACATATAAACAACACATGGAGAAGACATAGACATCCCCAGGACCAGGCAGAACTGAGGGGACAGGATGCTGTGGGGCTGGAGGAGAGTGGAGGGATGTGACTTGCGGGAGCAGCAGTGATGGTTATAGAGGTGTGGAGGACGGTTCTCTGTGGCATGGGGTTGGGAAGGAAGACTGAAATGTAGTTTCATGGATACAAGGTGAGGTAGGGATGAACACTCTTTGTACCCAGTTGTCACAGAATTTTCACGTTATAGATTGAATTCATATGTTGAAGCCCTAACTCCTACTGTGACTGTATTTGGAGATAGGGCCTTTACATAATTAAGGATAAATGAAGTCCTAGGGGTGGGGCCCTAATCCAACAGGACTAGTGTCTTTGAAAAAAGAGGAATAGACACCAGGAGGCATGTGCAGAGCAAGAAGGTGGCCATCTGCAAGCTAAGGAGAGGGACCTCAGGAGAAATCAGTTCTGCTGACACTTTGATCTCGAACTTCTGGCCTCCATAACTGAGAGAAAATTAATTTCTATTGTTTAAGCCACCCAATCTGTGGCATTTTCTTTCGGTAGCTTGAGCTGACTGACATACATGTTAAGGAAGCTTGTCCTCCAGCCCTGGTCCTCAGCGCTGTATGAGGGTTGCTCTAAGGCACTTATTATCATGGTCAAAGGTTTAAGCAGGCTAACAGTGATGGGTACATGAGCACTTGAGGATATAGGCAGGTTCTGGCATGGCTCTCAGTGAGGTGACCTTTTTTAGGTCATGTTACTTATCTGGGTCATTTTTGTCTCTACAGTGAATGAATTAGGAAATTAATATGAGTAACTTGCTAATGCATGAATAGAAAGTTCAAGGTGAGGATCATAATAACCTTGGAATATTTTTCGTAAAACTCGTGCTCTACTGCTTCACTCCCTGTTCCTACTGAGAACCCCTGGTTTTGATGTTGCAGGCCATGGAAACTCAGTAAGGTCTGCAGTCTTACACTCATACATCCTGACTTCTTGTTATTGGTGAGTCTTCTAATTCTAAAAGAACCAGTATCTTCTCCTGCCTTTTGGCTGGGTAGAGTCAAGTGTTTAATACATCCAGTGGTACCAGCATTAGATGCTAAATGAGAGGGAAATGGCTCTTCTGAGGTGAAAGTTGAGGGGATCCATGAGAGCGGTGCACCAGGGCTCTGGGAACTCGCAGCTGCCAGGTTGTTCAGTAGGCAAGACTCAGATTCGGAAACAACAATGCCTTCACCCCCTGCTTTATGGTCACTTAGGAAAGGTGTCCCCAGCTCTGGAGGGGGTGGCATGGAGTAGTGTGACTTCTCATGGTCAGAGAGGAGCCCCCATCCCTAGCAACCTTTGCTTCCCACTAACCAGGCACGTCTTAGCCGTAGTTGTCACTCAGACTAACTATAGGTCTGTTCAGAGAGACCAGGGGCCTGAGTACAGGAATGAAGTTTCAAGCTCATGGGCGCAGACCTCTTGGTTCTGCCCTGCCACTAAGCCTAATTACCTCTCCCACCCTGTTTGATCCTCCACTGCTTAAATGCACATGCCACCCAATCTGAACTGGGGAGGTCCAAAATCTCCTGAAGCCCATACTAGAAATCTTGAGTCCAGCTATGTAAGTGGCAGAATGATTGAACATTTTTTTCCTTCAGCTTTGATGAGCCTCTAACCCCGGCAGGAGATTTATTTCTGTTGTCAGTGTTATTTCAGGGCTCAGGAACTAGTTGTCTACCTGGCTCTTCAGCCAATCATAGGCAGTGGTAAAGAGGAGGCTGGCAGGCAGCAGCGTCCCCTGGGCATAGTGCAGGTTATTTTGAGCTTATCTTATTCTTAGCCAGCAGCCTGGGACATTGGTGTCTGCACATGATACAATTTTGCCTGGTGGTGGTGGCAGCAGGACACTTTGCTTCAGGTGCCTGGCGTGCAGTAGTACAGAAATGAATTATGGGAAAAGCAGTTTCCTGGTGCCAACTCAGTCTCCCAGTAGACCTGCAGGGTCAGGAGGAAGATTTCATGTAGGCAGCCTGCTATGCGAGCAGACGCAGAAATGCCAGTGCCCACAGGGAGCCTGGTGTTTAAAACAGAAAACAACCAACTCAGCACCACAGTATGCCTGGCCTGATTCTGAGACGTAGGAAACTAAGGCCCCCATCATTCTGACGTGGCAAGACTGGCAAGGGACTGGGCAACGGGAGAGGGGCTGGTCAAATGCATTAGGGAAGGGATGCCCTACTCTTTGTGCTCGTCCCTCTGAGAGAACAGGGATGAACAGCCAACACTGGTGCCTATTCAGTACCTCCAACACTGGGTGATGAGCTGCTCTGATTCCCAGCAAGTCCTTCCCCATTGCCTCTACATTTCCAAATCCTTGGTGTGCAGAATTCCTCAATAACTCCAACCCTTTCCTAACTGCTCACAGGAATGCTCAGCACAATGCTGGCCACATTTGCATTCATTCAACACATTCAATAAATGTTGAATGAATGAATGGTCTATGTCAGTGGATTTCATACTTAAAAATTGATAGAATCCTTGTTTTCAAATGTAATCTTACTCTGAAGCTCAATACACAGAATGGATAAAAGCACCACTCTGATTATATTGGCACCGGGGGAGGGGACAGAGCTATGCCTCTCGGTCTTCCCTTTGCTATGTCCTATGGGAGAGTCAAGAGTGCTAAGATTCCGGCAGCAAGGATTCATTAAGTATCTATGGCTTGCCCAGAGTCATATGCATTCTGGAAGATTTAAAAGGAGTAGAAAGCTTTATAATGGAGAGTTTAAGATGAACAATAAAATGTATACACAAAAAATATATGAGAGAGCCAGGGAACCATGAGGAAAGAAAATATCACAATGGGCTGGATTCTACAGAAATGGTTGGCTTTCACCGAGGTCTTAAAAGAAATGTAAGATTTCAGTTTACACAAAGAAGGGAAAGTGCTTCAGACTGAGGGTACAGTGTAAGCAAAGACACAGAAGTAGGAACAGCACAGCACTGGCACCAGGATGGAGGAAAGGGACTGGTAGTGGAGCAGCCTGACTAGGTAAGCAGAAGAGTAGTGTGTGGTGTGTGGTGTGTTTAGAAGGGTAGGATTTAGTAGGCCGCAAGATGGAGTCATGATGGTGGTCTTGAAAGGCTGCCAGAGGAATTCAGGAGCTGGTAGGCTGCAGGGAAGCCACTAGAGGTTTTTAAGTATGTGAATAGCCCAGTGAGAAATTTCTCTGGCAGTGACCTAAAGAACGCATGCTTGGAAGAAATGAGTGTCCACACATCCAGATAAGAAGTCATTGCATTAACCCAGGTCAGAGGCAGGTCTCTCTTTTTCTACTTAATGTGACTTAGTCCCTGTTGAGTTGGATTGGACCAACCAATCTAGAAAATTACTATTTGTGCACCACTGCAGGCTGTATGACCTGCTAAATTGCTACCCACTTTTAAAGCAAATAACTTCTTTAGTCTACAGTAACACCAGCCTTCTGACTGTTTCAGGTTGTTCAGTAAGTTTCTGATAAAGAGAAATAGCCAAGGGAAGTCAGCTTCTAATGGCACTGTCACTGAGTATTGGCTTGAACCAACACAGGTCTGCTTTGAAGTGTTAACTTAATGTGTCATCGTGTCTGGTGGCACTCAGGTTGGACATGCAGTGAGGATTTGTTTTAAAGTATCTGAAGAAGATTATACAGTACAATTGGATTACAAGGATCCTGGGAACATTTATTGGAGTTACAAGTTCTAGATAATACATTTCAGCAGCCCAGTCTGCACAAGCAGCGAGTGAGCTGGATTTGCTTCAAAGAGTGTGATAAAATCTGGCATTAGTGCATTTATCCCATCTTATCTTTCCAGGCAGCCTTTGCCAATTCTCAACCTGACCACAATTCAGATACCCTCATGAGGAATCCA